CCACTATGTTCATCACTGAACAACCACCCACCACTATGTTCATCACTGAACAACCACCCACCACTGTGTTCATCACTGAACAACCACCCACCACTGTGTTCATCACTGAACAACCACCCACCACTGTGTTCATCGCTGAACAACCAGCTGCCACTGTGTTCATCGCTGAACAACCAGCTGCCACTGTGATCATCACTGAACAACCACCCACCACTGTGATCATCACTGAACAACCACCCACCACTATGTTCATCACTGAACAACCACCCACCACTGTGTTCACCACTGAACAACCACCCACCACTATGTTCATCACTGAACAACCATCCACCACTGTGATCATCACTGAACAACCACCCACCACTGTGTTCATCACTGAACAACCACCCACTACTGTGTTCATCACTGAACAACCACCCACCACTATGTTCATCACTGAACAACCACCCACCACTGTGTTCATCACTGAACAACCATCCACCACTGTGTTCATCACTGAACAACCACCCACCACTATGTTCATCACTGAACAACCATCCACCACTGTGTTCATCACTGAACAACCACCCACCACACTGTTCATCACTGAACAACCATCCACCACTGTGTTCACCACTGAACAACCAGTCACAACTATGTTCATCACTGAACAACCACCCACCACTGTGTTCATCACTGAACAACCACCCACCACTGTGTTCATCACTGAACAACCACCTGCCACTGTGTTCATCGCTGAACAACCAGCTGCCACTGTGTTCATCGCTGAACAACCAGCTGCCACTGTGTTCATCGCTGAACAACCAGCCACCACTGTGTTCATCGCTGAACAACCAGCCAATAAACTTCCTGTTATGGGGTGACAATAACGACACACTGGACCAAGCTCAATCCCGCAGCCCCCCTGACAAAACCCCTCTACATCTCTCCACCATCACGGCGACTTAGTATGTATACTTATCCCACTAGTCTACGGGCTGGTAAACTCCGCAACTCATGGGGTATCCATAGACGGTTTACTGAACTGTTTCCTCAATGTAAACTAAGGCTGATGCACAGGTTTCGCAAGATTAGGAGAGGGGATCGAACCGTCGTCACTACTTTGGTCTGTGCTCACCAGTCACCTGATTGTATTATGGTCAATACATCGTAGTAATTAATACAATATACGGTAATAAATACATCAATAATACATAAAGGGAATTTTATTCACGGGACTGATGATCAATTTATTAAAGGTTCAACTGTAGTGATCATTCTAGCGAGTGGGAGTGATTGTGTGTTTTGATATGTGTATGTGTACATGTAATTATGTACCCCTGATATGTGTCAATTATGTGTCCTAATGCACAAAATAAATCCCATTAACATGTCAGTATAAGAGCCGTGAGAAGGATTCGAACCTTTGCTCTGGGGGTACTCCCAGATCATACGTTCGAATCCTATGGTTTTTAGGATATACTGTAGAATTTGATAAATAATTCTTCGCAAAGGATTTCATGTTATCAATCATTATATGTGCGTCAAAGTCACCCGTACTAATTACAGCTGGATACAACATTCAGAAACAGCCAATCAGACTGGCAAGGGGCCGTTAATTATCAGCAGCCAATCAAAGAGCGTCCATGTATTATCTAGTTAACAGTGGCTAACATGAGTATCCGACACCCGGACGAACTGTTCAACATCTGCTTTAGTCAGCCCTAAACGGCGCCCGTTTTCTGTGGTTGCGACGGCCAGTGTGAGAGAATGGTTGACGGCCCCGACCAGTATAGGAGAATGGTTGACAGTACCCGACCAGTGTGAGAGAATGGTTGACAGCCCCGACCAGTGTGGGAGAATGGTTGACAGCCCCGACCAGTGTGGGAGAATGGTTGACGGCCCCGACCAGTGTAGGAGAATGTGGTGACAGCCCCGACCAGTGTGAGAGAATGGTTGACAGCTCCGACCAGTGTAGGAGAATGTGGTTGACAGCCCCGACCAGTGTGGGAGAATGGTTGACGGCCCCGACCAGTGTAGGAGAATGTGGTTGACAGCCCCGACCAGTGTGGGAGAATGGTTGACGGCCCCGACCAGTGTAGGAGAATGTGGTTGACAGCCCCGACCAGTGTGGGAGAATGGTTGACAGCCCCGACCAGTGTGGGAGAATGGTTGACAGCCCCGACCAGTGTGGGAGAATGGTTGACAGCCCTCGACCAGTGTGGGAGAATGGTTGACAGCCCCGACCAGTGTGAGAGAATGGTTGACAGCCCCCGACCAGTATAGGAGAATATTTGACAGTACCCGACCAGTGTGAGAGAATGGTTGACAGCCCCGACCAGTGTGGGAGAATGGTTGACAGCCCCCCGACCAGTGTGGGAGAATGTGGTTGACAGCCCTCGACCAGTGTGTGAGAATGGTTGACAGCCCTCGACCAGTGTGTGAGAATGGTTGACAGCCCTCGACCAGTGTGTGAGAATGGTTGACAGCCCTCGACCAGTGTGGGAGAATGGTTGACAGCCCCGACCAGTGTGTGAGAATGGTTGACAGCCCCGACCAGTGTGGGAGAATGGTTGACAGCCCCGACCAGTGTGGGAGAATGGTTGACAGCCCTCGACCAGTGTGAGAGAATGGTTGACAGCCCCGACCAGTGTGGGAGAATGGTTGACAGCCCCGACCAGTGTGGGAGAATGGTTGACAGCCCCGACCAGTGTGGGAGAATGGTTGACAGCCCTCGACCAGTGTGGGAGAATGGTTGACAGCCCTCGACCAGTGTGTGAGAATGGTTGACAGCCCTCGACCAGTGTGGGAGAATGGTTGACAGCCCCCGACCAGTCTGGGAGAATGTGGTTGAGAGCCCTCGACCAGTGTGTGAGAATGGTTGACAGCCCTCGACCAGTGTGTGAGAATGGTTGACAGCCCTCGACCAGTGTGGGAGAATGGTTGACAGCCCCGACCAGTGTGGGAGAATGGTTGACAGCCCCGTCCAGTGTGGGAGAATGGTTGACAGCCCTCGACCAGTGTGGGAGAATGGTTGACAGCCCCGACCAGTGTGTGAGAATGGTTGACAGCCCCGACCAGTGTGGGAGAATGGTTGACAGCCCTCGACCAGTGTGAGAGAATGGTTGACAGCCCTCGACCAGTGCGGGAGAATGGTTGACAGCCCTCGACCAGTGTGAGAGAATGGTTGACAGTACCCGACCAGTGTGAGAGAATGGTTGACAGCCCCGACCAGTGTGAGAGAATGGTTGACAGCCCCGACCAGCGTGAGAGAATGGTTGACAGCCCCGACCAGTGTGAGAGAATGGTTGACAGCCCCCACCAGTGTGGGAGAATGGTTGACAGCCCTCGACCAGTGCGGGAGAATGGTTGACAGCCCTCGACCAGTGTGAGAGAATGGTTGACAGTACCCGACCAGTGTGAGAGAATGGTTGACAGCCCCGACCAGTGTGAGAGAATGGTTGACAGCCCCGACCAGTGTGGGAGAATGGTTGACAGCCCCGACCAGTGTGGGAGAATGGTTGACAGCCCTCGACCAGTGTGGGAGAATGGTTGACAGCCCCGACCAGTGTGGGAGAATGGTTGACAGCCCCGACCAGTGTGGGAGAATGGTTGACAGCCCCGACCAGTGTGGGAGAATGGTTGACAGCCCTCGACCAGTGTGTGAGAATGGTTGACAGCCCCCGACCAGTGAGGAAGAATGGTTGACAGCTCCGACCAGTGTGAGAGAATGGTTGACAGCCCCCTACCAGTGTGGGAGAATGGTTGACAGCTCCGACCAGTGTGGGAGAATGGTTGACAGCCTCGACCAATGTGGGAGAATGGTTGACAGCCCCGACCAATGTGGGAGAATGGTTGACAGCCCCGACCAGTGTGAGAGAATGGTTGACAGTACCCGACCAGTGTGGGAGAATGGTTGACAGTACCCGACCAGTATAGGAGAATGGTTGACAGTACCCGACCAGTGTGGGAGAATGGTTGACAGTACCCGACCAGTGTGGGAGAATGGTTGACAGTACCCGACCAGTATAGGAGAATGGTTGACAGCCCCGACCAGTATAGGAGAATGGTTGACAGCCCCGACCAGTATAGGAGAATGGTTGACAGAAGTACTGGATGGATGTTCAATAGCCAAAAATTTGTACAGACAAAAAAAAAAGTGACTTTAGGACACTTTTTAAGTAACATACTTCAGAAAAATAGTAGTAAATTAGCGTTACTTAAACCTAACCTAACTTGAACCTAACCTAAACTTCTGAAAATCTGAAACATTGTCTCTCTACAGGGGCCGCTTCCTTACACCTTATGCCTCTGTTCACCTGACAGGGGCATCTCCCGGTTGCCATATATATATATATATATATATATATATATATATATATATATATATATATATATATATATATATATATATATATATATATATATATATATATATATATATATCAACCCGTTCTCGCAAATTCGTAAAGTCAATATTGACTTATTAACTACGTGCATAGGTGATATACTGAACATAATAGATACCCTTAAAAAGATTCATAGAAAACACCGACCTTACCTAACCTTGTTAGTATCTTAAGATAAGCATCTTATTGCTTCGTATTTACAATTATTACTTAACCTATACCTATTATAGGTTAGGTAATAATTGTAATTACGAAGCAATAAGATGCTTATCTTAAGATACTAACAAGGTTAGGTAAGGTCGGTGTTTTCTATGAATCTTTTTAAGGGTATCTATTATGTTAAGTATGTCACCTATGCACATATTTAATAAGTCAATATTGACTTATTAAATTTGCGAGAACGGGTTGTATATATATATATATATATATATATATATATATATATATATATATATATATATATATATATATATATATATATATATATATATATATGACACCCGGGAGACAAACAACTGTTGTGGACTGCACAACAATGTTCGTAATGAACAATATGTGTGGTGAAACACGTGAAAGAACAGTATAACAAATAGAACACATGCCGTTACTCACCCTAGATCTTCGAGGTCATAGAACATGTCCTTGTTGGAGTCATGAATGTAGATCTTGACGGAGGGCAAGTCGAGGTACTGCATGGTCAGCTGGTTGGGGAAGGACCGGACGAAGAGGGCCTTTACCGTGTCCAGCGACGTGATCTCGTTGGGCAGCAGCGCGCGTTTAGTCTCCCCTCGAAACTGAAGGAAAACCAGCCCTGGAACACGGAGGGTGAAGCGATCAGTGACTTTGTTTATCTTTTGTGTGTCTCTCTCTCTCTCTCTCTCTCTCTCTCTCTCTCTCTCTCTCTCTCTCTCTCTCTCTCTCTCTCTCTCTCTCTCTCTCTCTCTCTCTCTCTCTCTCTCTCTCTCTCTCTCTCTCTCTCTCTCCTCCAGTAATACATATTCATAAATATATGTATTTATAAATTATGATGTGTAAGATATGTAAATTAAGATATGTATTTATAAATTAAACTTGGTGTGTGAGGAAACACTTGTAATAGCCTCGATATCTCTCCCTCGTCAGCCCAACACCGAACCAAATCAACAGCAAGAGGTATACCCAGTTTACATTGATTACACGCGAAGTTTACAATAGTCTCGAGCTATGTTCAGGGCTAAAGCATGCTTACAGGTTGGTCAATATGCTCTTACTGGCCTGAATATCCAGTGTTGGATAGCCTTTTAGGACAATACCACAATCTCCTGAATATCCAGTGTTGGATAGCCTTTTAGGACAATACCACAATCTACAGATTCATCAACTACCCCTGGACTAAATCCCCCCCCCCACCTCCCCCTTCTAAAAACGCAGCCCGTTCTTCACGAATCCGACTTCAACCGGATTGAATGTTTAGTGTTGGACCCCAAGATAAATTTGCATAATACAAATTTTCTTAATGTGTCTTATAATAACCACTAATAATAATAATAATAATAATACATAGAGAATAATAGCAATAACGTGTTATATCAATGAAAGATTCACGTGGAGCCAAGCGGTGGATTCGAACTTTGGATCTGTGTAATCCCAAGTTTGCACACCTTACCGCTGGACCACCAGGTGGTATAACTTATTCAACCTGGGATGTATATTCTTCAGTAGGAGCCTGACAGCTGGGTGGACAGCGCTTCGGGTTCGTAGTCCTAAGGTTCCGGGTTCGATCCCCGGTGGAGGCGGAGACAAATGGGCAAAATTTTTCTTTCACCCCTGATGCCCCTTGTTACCTAGCAGTAAATACGTACCTGAGTTAGACAGTTGTTACGGGCTGTTTCCTGGAGGGTGGAGGCCTGGTCGAGGACCGGGCCGCGGGGACACTAAAGCCCCGAAATCATCTCAAGAGAGCCTCCTGTGGATTCTGTGGCATCCCGTGTCGTCGTCCAGGGGTCAGAAAGACTTGGGAGTATCGATTTCGAGGGTTCGAATCCAAAGCACTGCTCAAATTGATTTTCTCCTTATTGAAATAAGCGGTCAAAACTAATTTGTCAAAATACGATGCCTATCGGAAATATGCCTTATTTATGAGCCGAATTCTGGCTCATTGCTCATATTTGTAGTTTGAAATTACGACTTTTAACACAGAAAATCTGCGAATTACTGAAAACGACGAAGGGGTCACATTTTGCCCAAACTGACATACAGTTTTGAAAATACGATACCCCCTCCCCCCACCCTACACCCCCACTCTGCCCCACACCCCCCACCCTGCCCCACACCCCCCCCCTCACACCACGTCTCCTCACCCCAAATATCCCTCACTTCCCTCACCCCAATATCCCTCACTTCCCTCACCCCCAATATCTCTCACTTCCCTCACTCCCCCCCCCCCAGTCTCCTGGAGAGACCATAACAGGGGCCCTGGAAGACATAACCATGGCCCTCGCTCAGTTGTCATCAGGGCCCAACAAAGTGCCCCTAAGTGGCCCTGATGCCTCAATATCTCACCAACGATGCAAAAGCCATCAACATAGACATTTTTTCCCCTTACCCGGCCGCTGTCTCCGTAAAAATGACCCTTAACACATCAGTGGATTAGGTTCATCTTTGCCTCGACTTGGCTCTGGGAGTCTGCATGCCATTATGGACCTTAGCTCGTCAGGGAATAAGGTCGACAATTATATGCCTTTGCTATGCTAATGGGGCGAGATGAGAAAACGGCTCTTACGTCAGAAAGATATAAGGGCGATTATGTTGTCTGTTCATGCATTAATTTAAGTTACAAATGCTGGTTGCCCGCGTCTGGGTTAAACACGTGCAATAGCCCCAAAATTTTTAATTTGAACCTTATTCCTCAATACATAAAGCCTGTTTTTCCTAATCTTACGCAGTTTACCGCCTGGCAGGGTAATGTGAGCTTTATTCTACCAAGACGTAAGAGTGGGTTCAGCTTCCCGCTCCACCATGCTAAACTCTTCCTCAATATTACCTTTGGTATTTATGCTGGGGGAAAATGGGAGGCAGACCATGGTATAATGTTATATTCCCCTACACGCACGTGAGCGCTCGCACGCACGCACGTACACACACACACATACACACACACACACGATATGATAGAGCCCGATAGGCTCAGGAATCTGTACACCTGTTGATTGACGGTTGAGAGGCGGGGGTCGTAGTCCTAATGGCCCGGGTTCGATTCCCGGCAGAGGCGGCAACAAATGGGGCAGAGTTTCTTTCACACTGATGCCCCTGTTCACCAAGCAGTAAATAGGTACCCGGGAGTTAGATAGCTGCTACGGGCTGCTTCCTGTGTGTGTGTGTGTGTGTGTGTGTGTGCGCGTGCGCGCTCCCTGTGTATATACTATTTGCATAAACAGATGCAACTTTACTCTGGCACTTACAACACAAGACGCTCAGCGCCAGCTCCATGTGTTCCAAGAACACTTGGAAGATGTTCTCAAAGCCACTACACATATACCAGGTGTTCTCCCAGCACTTACAACCGTAGAGAGGCGTGAGAGTTAATGAGGGAGAGTGAGAGAGCGGGGGGAGAGTGAGGGAGAGAGGGAGAGAGTGAGGGGAGAGGGAGAGAGTGAGGGGAGAGAGAGAGAGGCAGCAGCGGGTCCTCGACCTGACAGTAAGGAGTCAGTATAAGTGACAGGTGAGTGACAGGAGGATCTGGGGGGCTGCCACCCCCTAATACCCTACACAGAGATTACACTCCTTTGTAAACAACATGGCATTATTTTGTCCCAACACCAGACGAGGAGAGACCGGGCCGCGGGGACATTGATTCCGAGAACGAACTAGAGGTAGACAAAAATGTTATTCTTGGAATGGGAGGTGTTAAGAATCAAGGGGGGGGGGTGTCTATTCTTAAGTGTCATATTCACGTGAAAGAGTTCCTCTTTCTTCCTTCTGGACCGTTGGTTAAGTCTTCTCATTCTTGGTCATTATCATCATTACGTTGCATTTTCTGGGTTGAAGTCTAGGAGCCATTTCTCTGACTATATGTGGGAGTGTGTACAGTTCGCTTTATAACTGTGGTGTGTGTGTGTATGTGTGTGTCTGTGTGTGTGTGTGTGTGTACACACACCTAGTTGTGTCTGCAGGATCGAGCATTGGCTCTTGAATCCCGCCTCTGTGTGTGTGTGTGTGTAATTACCTAAGTGTAATTACCTAAGTGTAGTTACAGGATGAGAGCTACGCTCGTGGTGTCCCGTCTTCCCAGCACTCTTTGTCATATAACGCTTTGAAACTACTGACGGTCTTGGCCTCCACCACCTTCTCACTTAACTTGTTCCAACCGTCTACCACTCTATTTGCGAAGGTGAATTTTCTTATATTTCTTCGGCATCTGTGTTTAGCTAGTTTAAATCTATGACCTCTTGTTCTTGAAGTTCCAGGTCTCAGGAAGTCTTCCCTGTCGATTTTGTCAATTCCTGTTACTATTTTGTATGTAGTGATCATATCACCTCTTTTTCTTCTGTCTTCTACTTTTGGCATATTTAATGCTTCTAACCTCTCCTCGTAGCTCTTGCCCTTCAGTTCTGGGAGCCACTTAGTAGCATGTCTTTGCACCTTTTCCAGTTTGTTGATGTGCTTCTTAAGATATGGGCACCACACAACAGCTGCATATTCTAGCTTTGGCCTAACAAAAGTCATGAACAATTTCTTTAGTATATCGCCATCCATGTATTTAAATGCAATTCTGAAGTTAGAAAGCATTGCATAGGCTCCTTGCACAATATTCTTTATGTGGTCCTCAGGTGATAGTTTTCTATCTAGAACCACTCCTAGATCTCTTTCTTTATCAGAATTCTTTAAAGATTTCTCACATAATGTATAGGTTGTGTGGGGTCTATGTTCTCCTATTCCACATTCCATAACATGACATTTATTAACATTAAATTCCATTTGCCAATTGGTGCTCCATATACTTATTTTGTCCAGGTCTTCTTGAAGGGCATGACAATCATCTAAATTTCTTATCCTTCCTATTATCTTAGCATCATCAGCAAACATGTTCATATAATTCTGTATACCAACTGGTAGATCATTTATGTACACAATAAACATCACTGGTGCAAGAACTGAACCCTGTGGTTAAAGCAATTTTTGTTGTATATTTTCTAGCATACGTTGATTTAATGTTATATATATAACCGAAAACTCACACCCGAGAAGTGACTCGAACCCATACTGCCACGAACACTATGCAACTGGTGTACAGGACACCTTAACCACTCGACCATCATGACTGGACCATCATGTGTGTGTGTGTGTGTGTGTGTGTGGTGTGTGTGTGTGTGTGTGTGTGTGTGTGTGTGTGTGTGTGTGTGTGTGTGTGTGTGTGTGTGTGTGTGTGTGTGTGTGTGTGTGCGTACTCACCTAATTGTACTCACCTAATTGTGCTTGCGGGGGTTGAGCTTTGGCTCTTTGGTCCCGCCTCTCAACCGTCAATCAACTGGTGTACAGATTCCTGAGCCTATTGGGCTCTATCATATCTACACTTGAAACTGTGTATGGAGTCAGCCTCCACCACATCACTTCCCACACCTGTGTGTGTGTGTGTGTGTGTGTGTATGTGTGTGTGTGTGTGTGTGTGTGTGTGTGTGTGTGTGTGTGTGTGTGTGTGTGTGTGTGCGTGCGTGCGTGCGTGCGTGCGTGCGCGTCTCCTCGCGAGGGCGAGCATGAGCGTTCGCGCGCGCTGGTGCCTCAAAGCTCTCATTATAAATTCATGCGGCCTTTCATACTAAGGATTTATTAGCC